AGAAAATCGATTTGTTCCAAACATGGTGTTGCAGGAAAGCTTTTGAATACCCTGGACTGAAGAAAGATGAAGAAATGGGCCCTAGATCAAATTAAGCCAGAACCTTCCCTTGGAGCAAAAATAACAAAACTGAAACTGTTGAGCGCGTCATGAGAAGTCATGACTCACTGAGAAAACTGTAAGACTAGGAAGAAGGCAGAAGAAGAAGGAGAACCAACTATGAGATGGCTCAGTTCCATCAAGGAATCCACAGTCTTGAGTTTACAAGAGCTGAGGAGGGCTCTCATCCATAGGGGTGCCATAAGGGATGAGAGCCAAATAATTGGATGGCACAGAACAAAAACAACAAGATAATTGTTTAACAGTTGGGAATTAGAACTGCTTGCTGATATATTGCAATTTATATCAGTACATTCCTTCTGCCCACCCTGCTCTAAGAAGTGCATTGGTTGGGCTGTTTTTTGAAGGCAATAACCAACACCTTGACTACAGAAGCATGAAGGAATCCATGCAGATTGGGGCAGTGTAACAGCTTGCCTAATCGCTTGAATTAGATAAAAAGTGGATGCAGAATCCCACCAAAGTTAAACCTTTCAAGTTTTTTCAAGAGCTGGACTCTTGCTTGTTGATAGGTATTACTGCAGAACTGGAGCAAAGGAACTTCAGTAAAGGATTTTCCTACGTAGATTGTTTGAGGCAGCCAACATAACAAGCAATGGTGGTGGTGGTGGGGGGGTTACCATTGTTGGTCTGTTGTGTTGTCCAAACCCAGTTGTGGTATTTTATCATACTAAGTTTGGTCTTTATGAACTACAGTAAGAAATACCACAATGGTTTGTCGTATTGTCCAAACCCTGGTTGGCTAGTCCTTGTGTGCAACCATCACAGTGGTCACTCTAAAAGCTGCTCCATTCACCCAGCCTTTGCTGTGCTTCTCTGCCTAGTAACAGATAAGCAGAACAATGGGAAGGAGTAGGCAATGCAGACAATGTATGAGCAAAATACCTTGGAGTGAATTTCACATGCAGTGGGCGATGGGATATGTGCCAACTATTAGAAGACTGAACAGGGAGGACGGAAACCATGATAATGTAGAAATAACTTGATCATCTGTCAGGTACTTCATGGTTAAAAAAAAATAAAATCCACAAACTATGGTAACTCCACAGGGTTGCTTGTCATGCTGTATATAGTCAGCCATATCATATTACAGCTCCTCATGGATTGTTAGTGTTAAGCACTGAGACCAAGAGGTAAGCCAAACAAGCACATGGTCAAGAAACCTGAGTTGTTTTGGAACCTGTTAAAATATAATTCAGCCTTCCCCAACCTGGTGCCCTCCAAGTAGCTTGCAACTTGCATCATCCTTGCTAGCATGGAAGGCACCAGTTTCAGGGAAGGTGCTTTGTTTCATTGTTTGAGTCTCTGTCTGTCTGTCTGTCTCTCTCTCTCTCTCTCTCTCTGTTAGCTATTTATCTAACCATTACAATAGCATTTAAAAAACTGAAAACTGCATTTAAAAGCTTAATTACAGGGACCCCAAGAAAATAACTAACATACAGTGATAGGTTTCTGTGAACTTCTGGGAGTGTCTTCTTTCTCCAGGCAACCTCATATGTCTGCTGGGTGTCTGCTTGCCTCTTCAGAAATTGTTGAATGATACAATCATACTCAGTGCCAAGAATTACCCACCCTTATAAGGTTATATGCAATGAGTCACTGTAAACTTGGTTGTTAACAGGTCATACCTCATTGGTAGACCACACACTGTGCAGACAGAAGTTCTAATTCTCAATCCCTGGTGTCTCCAGGTAGGGCTGGACCAGGAGTGTTTGGATCCCTGTGTGGGGTTGCTTCATGAGATGCATTACTCAATAGAAGTACCATCAGGTCCTGGAATCCCTGTGCTCCCTGGATCTTCTTAGATAGGAAAGAACATAACCGGACTTCCTGATCCAGTTGTGTCCCACTTGCGCTGCATTATCCTGAGCTATGCTGCGTTACTGCATCCTTGACTGTTCTTCAGTACTGATTGCTATCTTGCTTCTTGATCCTATGTTCTAATTTCTCCCGAGAACTAGCTCGTTGGGAGAGTTGTGGCCAGCCCACCCGTGAAGGAGGGTGAGGCACCTGCATCAGGCAGCAGAGCAGGAGGTACAGTGCATTATGCTGTTCACTCCTGCCTCCAGAGAGTTCGGCCAGCTGTTCTCCCACTGTGACATTTGCCTCTCTGGAGCAGTGGACACCCTCTTCTACCGTAATTACACGTGGCTGGAGGACATGCTGCTTTTTCCGGCTATATGGGCCTCCATAGAGCTAACATGACAGCAGCCAAAGAAAGGGGGATGAGGGATATGATGTGTTGGAAGTAGTATGTGATCTCTCCTGGCTCAGGCAGTGAGAGAGCTTGCGCTGAGGCTGGGTCCCGAGTTGTGGTTTCTTCCTCAACCCACTCCCCAGTTCATCATTTGGACCTGACATTCGGTTCCTGGCTCACTCCAGACTGCTGCTGATGTCCCAAGCTTTGACAGTCTGGAAGAGGCTCCTGCCTGAAACCCTGGAGGACTGCTATTGGCCTTCCTCAACCTGATGCCCTCCAGATGTTTTGGACTTCAGTTTCCATAAGTCCCAGAGAGCTTAGCCAACATCTGGAATTAAACTCCAAAACATTTGGAGGGCATCAGGTTGGCAAAGGCTGGACAAAACTGCTAGCTTCGCTGAAGGTCTAATGATGCAAGGATGCTTCCTGTGTTCCAGATTTCACTCTGGAAAGACAGCATGACTCAGCCCTCGAAAGCTTAGGAAATGCTGCCTGACACAATAAAGAAGGCAAATAAAAACGTCTTTTCCTTTAGCAAAGAGCTGAGCGCCCTCAGCCTCAAACATCAGGGGCATGTCACTATGCTCCCGTCATTAAACCCAAGGAAGTCTGGACTAGCATGTCTGTATGAAGGAAAGCTCTTCATAGAAATGCTTCTTTGTGCCTTTCCAAAGTTAGGTAGTTCCCCATTTGGCATGTTGATGTTTAAGTCACTAGATTTCAGCTAATTTCTTAAGGGATGTTTTAGGCCAGAGTTCAATGTAAAAAGAGTAATTTTTACCTAATTGTTTCCCCCTTAGTTGTAAACCTGGTGCCTATGCTACACTGGTGTCCGGTGTAGGAGCACGGCTGTGCATACTAGATTTCCATTTTAGTTGCTTGAAGCCCTGGAAGAGCAGCTGGAACCTCTCCTTTCCCCTGCCCCAAAAGGACTTTGAAGGGAGATAATTGCTTAAGGCTTTGTATTCATTTCCCCCCATGTATAGCAGTTAAAACACATCAAGGAAGCACTTCAGTGGAAATAATCTTCCTTTCTATCACTTTGATAAAATATTATGTTCCTGCATTGCTGGATTTTGCATCACCTCATGCGCTGCTTCCACAGAAGTCAGTCCTAGGAAATATGGTTTTCTCATCACGGTTTCAGTTTGCAGCAATTGAGAGGGCTGAAATCACATCTTGCTATTCTTTTCTTACAATGGAGAACTACCAAAAGAGGATGGGGAAGTACGTAATGCTCCATCCTTGCAATCTGTAGAGGAATATGCTGAGATAAGAGGGATCCGTTACGTATGGGTTGATCGTGTTTTGGAAGACAGACTGCTCTCTTAAAAAGCAATGGTCACACGGCATTCAAGAGGAATCTGCTATTTCTTGGGGTCTCTGACAAATGGAACATCCTCATGAAGTGGATTAAACATCATGCATCAAGAACTGAGTGTATGTCTGTGTACTGATTAAGTTTTACTTCCTCCCTCCAATTTATTTGGATGCAACATTCATAGGTCACTTTCTCAATTGATTAAATTAAGTTTGATTAAGTTAACTCAATTGATTAAGTTAAGTACTGATTAAGTTTTACTTCCTCCCTCCAATTTATTTGGATGCAACATTCATAGGTCACTTTCTCAATAAATCATCCAAAGTAGCATACAAAAGTTTAAATAATTGAATAAAATCTTAACTTGGCTAATGCAAAATAATAAAAGCAGCAGCAAAGAAAAATCAATTAATCCATTGAAGGAGGTCTTACTAAACAAAGATATTTTCACATGGCATGAGCATTTCATGAAGTGGTACCAACACTAAAAAGGCCCTGTCTCACATTTTGGCAGGTCAGACTTCACACATAGAAGCCACATGGAACAGAACCTCTCCAAATAACATGAAGGAATATTGAGGTTCATTTGGAATATAAATATTGAGACACATATATATTGGCTCTTTCTAAAGGGAGAATGAACATACAGAATCAAATGTGTGTAGTTTCTTGGTGACGACCCTAACATAATTTGTCCCATATGGGAGACAGACATACCCTAATATTAAGCTGTGGAGTAAATTGCTTACCTGTAACTCATCCTGGGGATTCCATGTCTTACATATTTCTATTTGTCAGGGATGAACTATGTTCACTTTTAAAAGAAAAGCACCCACTTCTCATTTTTATGGCAATTGTGTTCATTTTGAAGCTGGGATAGATGTGAAGCCAGACATATTTATTACAGCAAGGACCAAACAGGACATAATGTGGGAGAACGGGGGAAGCCTTTTTAATTTTTTTGTTTAAAGAATAGCAGCCTTATAAATTTAAGTTCATAAAAGTCATTACCTATGGAGGAGAGAAAGCCCAGCTCTTCTGCAGCCAGCAGGGCAATGCTGGTTGCTACTCTTGTTTTGTGGGCTGATTAAACATTGTTTTTGCTTAAGCAGCCTGCCAGAGTAAGGATAGGGCAGTTCCTTCTGCTAGCACCTGAACTCTGTGTGCAGAAAGGGGCTTCCCTTTCCGTGCGGCCAGCACAGAAACCAGGTGACCTTTTGGAGAAGGACAGAGGGCTCTGTCCCTCCTCCAGCAGCTTCTCTCTCACCTGCTTGGAATGCTTTGTTCTGTCTGGCTAGCAGGCCATTGTTAAATACATAGATGACCATGTATCCCACCGAAATAGAGGACTGCCCCCTATTTGAAGGGCTTTCAGAGGACCGTCTTCTGTTTGAAAGGCTGTCCTGTCCAAATCCAATTAATTTGCTGTAAGAAGAAGAGACATGGACATTGCCTATGAACACCTGGACAAGAGGAAGGAAGCAATACTGGAGGTTTTCTGGGCACAGTGTTCCCTACTGTGGGGGAGATGTATTGCAATTTGATTTAAATAATATAGTATTTATCTCTGCTTTCATCTGTATCTATCAAGTAGCACATGCAAGTTGTATGGAAATTAGCGCCCCCTTTTTGCCAGTATAAAAGGCTGGTTAATGATAGCATGCACCTTCTTGCTGTTCAGTTTGACTTCATGGAGCAACCAGATGTCATGCATGATTATGGAAGGGTGTGTCTATCATTATGTTTAGGAAAATTGTATTCGGCTCGAGAACAGTTAAGCATCCCACTCTCCTGCTTATTTGATCAGATTGAGATCCTTCCATCACTACACTCCAGTAAAGGGGAAAAAGTTCTTAAAAATGCAGATCCAGTCATGGATGTCCTTTGTAACATATTATTTGACTCACAAATTAAACCCAGACTGAATCTGGTACTAGATTTTAAACTGCTTTTCTCAGTAGTATCCTGGAGTTGTGGGAGTGAGGCTATCACCCATTGCAACCCCTGCATCTTAAAGACTAGAAACATACATATGAAATTATGTACCAGATTCCCCCTGGTATGCATGAAACCTTAATTGGAGGAGCCATTCTGGGGCAGTTTGTGCTGGCTTGCAGGTTATGCCACCATGATCCTTGCCCTGTTGAGTGAAGCAGAGAAAACTTTCCACTCCTCATGGTGCCCAAAATTAGAAGACAAAGTGATATTTTTAAAAAGAGCATTGGATGGAATTTGAAGGCTAAGTTAGCAATAGAGGCCTTAAAAACACAGTTCTTGCTTGTTTTGCATTTATGGCATTCCTTCTGTTCCCAGGTAGTGAAGAGTTAATATTATTCTTTAAACAATGAACAGATGTAAATGTCATTATGCTGGACTTTTAACAACAAACACATTTCTTCTTCCTGCACAATGCCAATAGCTTTTGACAAATAAGTGCTGTTTTCTGAGAAGTGGTATACAGGAAAAAGAAGAAAGGAAGTTAAGTATCTCTGAAGCAAGGCAGTACGTATTTATAAATGCTTTTCCGCTCTCCCATCTTCAGGGTAAGATTGCTTATTACTAGAAGAAGAGAAAATACTGTGTTTATCAGAAGCATAAAATAATCAAGTGTTTGATTTTTTAAAAGTTCATTAACTAGTAAGTTGTATTATTTCAGAGTGCTCATTTCCAATACTGTATTTACTGTGCATTTTGCATCTTTACTCTATGAGAACATGTCAGGGTTGCAGTTTTTCAGACTTGAAACATATAATTGTGTCTTCAACACCTGTACCATACTTTATTCTCTTACCCCTATGTCCCAGAAAAATTCAGAGGACAAGCATACAAAGAATACCAGCTGCAACAAATACTTCACTATGATCGGGTGGTCACTAGATAAATTGGATCTATTTTACAGGGGGATAATACCCTATGGCACTCATCCGGACAGAATGATTGAGGCTGGATTGTGAGGTACCTGTGAAAAGGGCACTGTCTGTCCTGGGCTCCTTTATCTTGTTTAGATCACTGCAAGGTGATCACGCCAGGTGGGGCTGCCCTTCAAGAGTGTGCATAAATTGCACGTAGTGACAACTTCAGTAGCGAAATCGCTTTCTGGTGTGCACTTTGTTGTCTGCATTTCACCAGCCCTACAGCCAGGGCCCAGGCTTCCAGCTTGCTTCTGCACACAATTCGAGGAGCCTAGCCTAGCCTAGCCGAGGCTTTTTGTGAATGGGGCGGCATAGAAATGTTTTAAATAAATAGGTAAATAGCCCTAAGTGATTTGGGGCCAGGATAGCAGAAAGATCACTTCCTGCCATATGGACTCGTCCATAGTTTAATTTCTGTAGATTCTGCTAAGCAGCTTGCAGATAAAGCTTTAATACAGCTTGCCCCCTTGCCTCCTTTACAGGATTCTGTGAGAGATCTAGACGATACTCCAAATTTGAGGAGGGGGTGTCCAGTGGAGGAAATGCACTCTACTGCTTCTTCCGACTTCTTTCTTACTGTAAAAAAAAAGTTGGTAAAGGAAAGAAAAAGGACACCTGCACAATATCCTCTGATTGGAAGCATCAGGAACCATCCATCTAGAAACAAACCAAGAAAGGCTAGGTTGATGGGAAACAGGAAAGGGCTGTACTCGTGGTGGCAATCCAGTTTTGGAAATTTCTCCCTGAGGAGGTTAGACTTGCCCCCTTCACTGCTCGGCTGTTAAAACAGTTTTGTTCCGTGCGGTTTTCAAGCACTGTAACTAGTCGAGTCCTGAGGCTCCTCTTGAAGCGCACCAGCTCTCCTGTGGGATGCTGAGTAAAGCCAGGCAGAGGGGAAGAAGTGACTGATACTCTTCAAGCCCCTTGCGTGGCTGTTGAGAGCTGGAGGGGCTTCCGAGCCTGCCCAGTTCATTCACTTACCAGGAACAGAGCTGGGAGACCGAGAGCTTCATATTGCTTGTGGATCCGCCTCATCTGTCCGTCTTCCTTTCCACCCACTGCAACACTCACTTTCCATCCTCTGTTACGTCTCCAGAAGAGAAGCCTCCGTGGTGTTTTCTGCAGCTGCAGGGTGGAGTGCGGGAAATCTCTACTCGGATTTCCCCTTTCAAGGTCATGACTGTGTCTGTGCCTCTGCAGGGGAAGTCACCTATAACTTGTGGTCCCTTTTTGGCTTTTCTGAGCCAAAAGGTGACTTAGGAATGTTGCTTATAAATAAAAACATGTGATACCAGAGGTTCCCACCACCAGACTGAACCCTAAACACAATGTGAAACAGATGCACGGTGCTGTCAGCACTGACTATGTCCCTCGCTCTTTAGGGGTAGGACAGGCTGGTTCCCTACTGGCAGTTGACTGGTTTGAAACTACCCCGCCCTGGCTAGCCCCTTGCACGGATGCAGGCTTCTGATCTTGCATACACTGCCCCTTTGCGTGGAGATGTAACAAAATGTACGCCTGGCTTTTTCCAGGCATACGGTCTCGTCGTTTTTACAATTAAAACAAACAATCCTATACTATTTCTCTCTGCCACTCCTCATGCACATGGGAGGAACATTTAATGCATGTGATGAAATACGGCCTGGGCTAGGAAAAGCACTGCCCGAATAAATTTGTTAGACTTGATGGTGCCACACAGCTTTTGCGTGTGTCTTTGTGTGCCCACGTGCACACTCTCGTGTAATCAGTCTGAACTGCTGCCAGTTGCGCACACGTTGCCTTACCTGGAATGCGGCTCCCGCTGCAGATAAGTATTCGTGTGTTTAAGCAAGCAAATACCTTCGCATTCCAACTGTTCTCTGGTCACTCCGACAAAGCCAAGCTGAAAACAACCCCCTCCAGTACAGCGTGGGTGTTTGCTTACCTGTTGCATCAGCGCAGGACGGCAGAGAAAAACCTGCAGGATTTCCATTGTTTGCAAAGAACGGAACTTAACAGATGGGGCTCTATTAGAGAGAATACAGTAAAGGTAATGTGTTGCAGCAGGGTGGAGGGGGGTTTGGGATCATATGATCAGAGTGGAGAGGGACTAAGTGGGTGGAGGAGGATTCAGAATAGATACTCAGAGGTTCAGAGGACGCAACTGGGGCAGCTGTACAATACTCCAAAGGGCCATCAGTCCGGAGTAGTTAGCTAGTAGGGTAGCAAACAAAAACAGCGAAGATCTTCTCCAGCTGCCTGGAGGCCAAAGGAATATTTTTGCTACCTCATTCCACACCCTTCTCATTCCTTCAGCTGCTCCCTCGGAGGCTGTCAACCGGCAGGCACCATCCTCTTAATTCTTACATTCCAGGCATGATCAGCAGGGCCTATTGCAGGGCGAACGCATCAGGTCTTTCCAAGTGAGTTCTCGGTTTGTTTTAAAGATGCATGGATGTGTTTGCAGGAGCTTAATTTCTGAAGCAGTGGGTTTCTTTTTAAAGGTAGAAAGCTCGGTTCTGATGAGTAGCAGTAGAATCCAAATGAGTTGCAACATGTCGAAGAGATTTGAGGGAATGTTGTAACTGTGTCCTATGCCTTCCCTTTTCTCCTTAGTCAAATCTTGCTTTATTACATATATGCAAAGACATTTTGCTCTAAACCAAGTCAAATGGATCTTTTCTGTCACTATAGAAAAGTGATAGTTCTTGCTTACCTGATATAATTCTTGCTTACTCAAACATTGCTTTTGTTTGTGAAAACTTCCGATGAAGCTTAATTTCTGGCTAAATACTAGACGAGCCTTCCTCAAGCTGGTTCCCTCCAAATGTGTTGGAATTTTAAAATTATTGTGTATATACTAATCAGTTTTAGCTCACAATCCTATGCATGTTTAGACAGGGTCTTGCAACTCCCAACATGCCTTTATGTACTGCTTTCTGCAAAGTTTTGGTCAATGAGCAGATGAGTTGCAGCACCCATCTTTCCCAGGCAGTAGCTGTGTTATCTGGAAATGATGGACATTGTATTCCCAACACATCCGGAGGGCACCAGGTTGGAAAAGGTTGCACTTGAGTTAAAGTTAGAAATGATTATGTCATGGGGAGGAGTGAGAGAGCAGAAATGCCTAATGATAGTAATATAAGAATGATATTGCCCTGCTGTATTTTTGGCTGTGTTTGCCACCTTGCAAAATGTATAAGTACAGGACTTGTGATTCTACCTTTACTCTGTGCAATGCTTTTATAATTTCTGGAACTGCCTAATGTGGATAGTAAGGAGGGTGTCTGTGTCTGGCTTTATGATGATAACTGGGAATGATTTAGAAAGGGTGCTTTTGTTTATATTTAAGCCTGAAACCTACCTCATTGCAGACAGATGTCTGAGAGCAGTGACTATGGCATGCCTCAAAGCACTGTCCTTTGTAGGTCTACTCAGAAATACGTCCCACCGAATTCAGTGAGACTTAACTTCCAAGTAAATAATTATTACAGCTGTAAATATTTGGAATTCACCCCACAAGTGATCCAGATATGTCAGTTTTAGCTAGCTAGATTTAGGGGTGGGGAATCTTCAAGGAGATCAGATAAATCGTAAGATTTGTGTGCAGTAGATACTACCCCAAGTTAGGAAGTGTGAAATTGAGCATAGTTCAGCTGCTGTTAGGCCTCACTCTTGACTCAAAAAAGTCAATCTTCTTGACTGAGTTGCATATCTCTACAATGCTTTCAGCACAGTTGCAAATATCAGTCCTCCGTCTCCTTACCTGTCACACTTTGGGAAAGTCTGTTCATCACGTTTAGTTTGGCCTTGTTGGAAGGTGACACATTCTCTTATCATGACTGAGAGTCTTCAGGCTGCCTGACTCACAGCTCCCTGGAATGCACCCCTGCTGAAGAGATAAAGCACACAGAAAGGTATACAGACAGAAGGTTCGGTCTGGGACAGAACCGTCCTTCATGTCAAGAATTAAAAATGGCATAAATGGGGGCCATTTCTTAGACACACAGATGTACAAATCCCACAATATTGCCCAGATTAGACTTTCAAGTGGCCAGACCTGCTGATTTCATAAATAATCAACAAATCTGTAGCAGTTCCGAAAAGGCCAAGTGAATCCATCCAGATTCCTAAATTCTAGGTGCTCTGCTGGGTTTGACTGAGATACTGCAATATGAAGTCGTGTCAACAACAGGCCAGCTTTGTATTATGGTGTATAGAATGGTCAGCCAATATTAAAGATAGATCCACATATGAATTTCCTGTGTAAGAATGGATCCTCAGGAGTCCATCCCTCTTGGGCAACTCTGTGAGTGCCTCTAAGTGTATCTTGCCTGCAAGAACTGGGAATGAGAACATGTTTGGAGGCTCATGGTAGTTTAATTTGAGAAGCTGGCACAGGGCAAAATACTGAACAGAATGTTGCAATGGGGAGTGGTTCTTTCCTGGTTCCTTCCTCCCAGCCAGCCTGACTTCCTTGCCTTTTTCCAGCACATTCTACTCGCTTTCCCCTTCTACCTGGTTTTCTCTCCCTCTTGCCTCCTGTCAGCGGTCACCCAATATTTCATGAGCTTGCTCAGTCCTAATTGGGCCTTTCTGCACCACCCACTCATAGAAGTGCTTGGGATTGTATGTGTGTATGAATGGGTGGGTGTTTTGTTTTTTGGTGGGGGGTGCTTGGTGGCTATTTCTACAAACCTGTGGCATCCTCCAAGCCTGCACATACCCGTCTCTTGTGGGTGGATGGTTCTATTTTGATGGAGAAAGACTGGAGCTTGTCAAATAAGTTCTCTATTGCTATCCAGCTTGGTGTACTTCCCACAGGCTACAGATGGACCCCCTCAGGTCACAAAAAATAAGCTGGGTTTCTCTCAGGGCCTCTAGTGCAGCTTTCCACAACCTGGTCCCATCCCAGATGTCTTGTCATCTGTCCCCTTACAGATCTCATAATCCCCAGCCAATTTGGCAGTGCAATTTATGGACATTGTAGAAGGAAACATTGGAGGCCACCCTGTTGAGGAAAACAGCACTAATGCCCCAGGTCTGAAACTGTTTGAAATGTATTCTCACACATTTTTCCATTCATATGCTACGCAAGCTAGTTTTTCACCTCTGTGGAAAAATATTTACTTTGTTTTAAAGCCCTGTTTTTAAGGCTCTGTTTTCCCCACCTACTATCTTAACTCTTTCCATTTGTTTGTTTGTTTGGTTGTTTTTCTCCTCCATTCCATGTGCACCTGGAAAGGGTGGCCTTTGTTCTGCAGTTCAATCTCCCTGCATGATAGCCTTCTCTTTAGGTTTTCTTAAATCTTTGGGAGTTAACAGCAACACCCAAAGGTGTACTGGTGCTTTGTAAAAGTTATTTGTCAATTGGCTTTTAAGTTCTCTTCCCAGTGGTTCTTCACCAAAACTCCTTCACAAAACCAGCCTAAGTATTCATGTGACTCTCCTTTAAAGATCATTCCGTTCTATGTGGCAATTCAGAAGTTTCTCTTTATGGTACCAAAGCAGGGACACAGGAGATTCAGTGCAAATTAAATGAAATCCTTCAGAGACTACGGAAGAATGGGAATAGATGGCTGAAATTCATGACCATATAGGCAATAAGTAGGGAGTTGTATCAGTTGTATAAGGCAATGGCTTTAAAACTGAGAAATCTAAAAGTTTGGTTTCATGTTGCTATTCCACAGTGGATTGCGCCTGCAGCAGTCCATAATAAACCTTATCAAAATATAACAACCTATTTGAAAAGTGCACTTTGTTACTAAACATACCAAATCAAGTAAGACAAGATCAACCCACAAGACAGCATCAAAATTAAATCAAAATGAAGAAGCACAACAGACATCCAGTCCAAGGGTGTAGCAGCCTGGCTTAAACCGAAATCAGAGGTTTTGAGGCCCAAGTCTTCTCAGCAAGCTGCTGGGTGACTTCACTACAATTCAGAGACCTTTTTGGAGCAAAGTACTTGCCTAGCTGACTCAGCAACCTCTTTCGAAATGTACAAGCTCTGAAACAAGCATGGATGTCCCATATAGGAAACACTGCCCATTTATTCTTTTCGGAGTGGGTACCTCCTTTCCTGATGAGAATGGAAAAGCCCCATCCTGTGTAGCATAACCTTTCCCAACCTTGGGCTGTCCAGATGGTTTGGATGTCATCTCCTGTCAGCCTCCGCCAGCATAGTCCATGGGCAGAAATCCTGGGAGTTGTAGTCTGAAGCACTGGAAAGGCACCAGGTTGAAGAAGGCAGGTGTAGAAACTCCATGTTTGCTTTGTGCACATGAGCATTCCGGATTAAGTTAACTATATTCTGAATGTATTCCCATTACAGGTTTGGCACACAGAGGAAAGTTCTGCAGTTTGGTTTTTCTCTCTCTCTCACTGCAATAATGATGATTGGAAACTTGACTTTCTCCTTGTTACTGAAGGGTACACAAAGCTCATTCTTTCTGGCCAATTTGTACTTGAATATCGATCCCCCTGAACACTTGGTCTGCTTTTGATACTGCTTGCCCAGACTTGTTGGAGGTGGCACAGAATCTTCCACATTCTGCTGCTGGAGAACTCAGGCTTGAGGATCAAGTCTGGCCTGCCAGATGCCTGGCCTTAATCCCACCCTGCAGGGTTCCGTAGCAAGCCATGCCTTTCTCCAAGGCGCATACCCTGCCCCTAATTTTTCATGTAGGGGCTTCCCAGCTGTTCTGCAGGTTTTTTCCCCCTAATGTCCATTCATTGGCAATCAGAGTTTTAGGCTAAACTGTGCTGGTATTTGAGGTATTTTGGCTTGGTCCTTTTTGCATGTCACTCTGGTCCCCTTGGAATGCAGCCCCAGAGAGCTTTTTTTTTAATCAGCCATTGCGCTAAAAGAGGTTCTGCACCCCGTGAGTTATAGCAACATAGGTGTCTGCCTTCTGCTAGGTCAGACACAAAACAGCTTCCCGCTGCCTTGGGCGTGTCTTCTCTGCTTTCACACGTCAATGGAAGTGACCGCAAGCTTTTGCTTTAAAACTAACTACAGCACTCTGTTACAAATCAGGGAACTCTGTT